GGGGGGGGGGGGGGGGGGGGGGGGGGGGGGGGGGGGGGGGGGGGGAGTTGCTTTGTCAGCATTTCAAATCCCCTGAACCCTAGAGTATCAGAGGCTGTTAATCAAACACACTTACTAGTCTGCAGAATGACGTAATGGCCCAGTATCCAGGCTTTATTCCCTGACACATGTCAAAGAAGGAGGGACGGAGAGAGGAAGAGTAGAAAAACGCAACACACAACCGAACCCAGAGAAACAGACACCTAACAACGAAAGCCTACACCAGGTCTGGAACCCTAGATAACAGGCTTCCTAAGGGGCAGCCCAGGGATGGAAGTCGAAAAGAGAGAGGGAGAGACAGTTATCCACCACCAGCCTTTCCATCCCTCAGCCCAGGGTAGAGGTCCACGGTGAAGGAAGAACGCGAGAAAACTTCTCCCCCGCTCCGCTTCGGTTCGGAGTCCTTCGAGAAACTTCGTTCAAGTTTGCGTGATTCAATATAGCGCAGCTTGTGCAGACGCGGGCTGGGGAGCCTCGGACTGCCGCCACTCTGCCGCCGGGGAACTGTCATCACCGGGAGCTGTGCGAGGGATGGGAAGGATCGAGCCCTCAAGTGAGATCGGCGTGGGAGAGAGGAGAGGACAAGAAGGAAGGCTTGCCGGGCCCCGAGTGTCTAGTGCGGGCCTGCAAATTGACCACAAGCTTGCCAAGCAGTAACCGATCGCACCGTTGAAAGCAACAGATCGGGAAACTCTTTGCAACAATGTTTGCGTGTGAAACCTGCAAGCCCCGCGCCCAGAGCGTAAGCCGCCGCTGCCGGAGCGATCGGGTAGCCCGCGAGGGAGCCGAGGAGAGCTCGCAGCCTGCGCGCGGTAACCAGCCTGCCCGTCAGCAGGTGAGAACCCCTTCCCTCCTCCCTCCTCCTCCTCCTCCTGCTCCTCTCCGCCACCCGCTCCCGCCACCGCCCCCGCAGCAACACTATTGAATTGGAAAAGTTTCTCCGCGCGCTGATTCCCGGGGATCGCTGCGCCAAGTTGCCAAAGTCGGGGCTCTCTCCTTGTTCACGTTCGTCACCGCAGCCGCAGCCGCCTTGGTGGGGGAACGGCAATTTGTCAGGCTTCTGGAGGCAAGCGCAGCCCCGATTCCTAACTGTCCCGCTGTCATTCAGGGAGACACACACACACGCACACAAGACCCGGTCAGACACACACACACGCACACACACCTTCCCACTCAGCATCTCAGCGCAGCCGCTGACCCCATCTTCCAGACGCGCAAGAAGTAAGCCGGGGCGAATTGGATCGGTGTGAGGCTTCAGCAGGATTCAGCAAGGAAACAGAACAAGGTTCCAAGGGCCAGGCTTCTCCATTCTCGTCCAATTGTTTACAAACACAGATAACCCTCAGAAACACACTCACGCACACACAGATCTTCCCAGTGCCTTGCCCGAGCTCTGGCTCCCTCACTCCTCTCCCTGAGCCCATGCGAACAAGGCAGGCGTCTTGGTTTGCCCGGGAGGCCGGTGCCACGAGAATACCGAAGTGCAAAAGACCCCAAAGTGACCGATCAGTATTTTTAGGAACTTACCAAACAAGTGTAGAGAAGGGGAGAGCGGAGCCTGGGTGAAGGAACCACGTTGGACTGAGAGAAGATTACAATACAGTCTATTTAGAGCGCATTACATCACCCCCCCCCGGTGACGTCACGTGGGATTCCTGAACTTCTAAATCATTGCGGTCCGCTGGGGAGGGAGGGAGGCAGGCAGGCCTACAGGCAGCGAGAGGAGGAGGGGGCGTGGCTGGCCCAGACCCCGCCCCTCCCAGGGAGGCAGCTGGGCTACCGAGCGGACCCCGGGACCCGGCGGAAAGCCGCGGCCGCCAGCCGCGCAAGCAACAGCTTGCAGGGCCCGGCGCAGTGTGACGCGACTCCCTGACATTAGCGGTGTGAGTCAGCGTGGAAACAGTCTTTATGATTTCAGAGAGGGCTCTGGGGGAGGCCAGGAGATGGGCTCGCGATGGCGTCGCCTCCTAGGCTTCAGCTGGGCAGAGTAGGGATGAATGGGGCTGGGGGAGAGGGGCACGGTTCTGACTGCACGATGGGCATGTCCAGAGTGAAGGCTGGGAGAGAAGCCCCCCTCCCCCCCCGCCGGACTGCCAACCGACTGATTTTGTCCTGCTCCCTTCAGTGACAGCGATGACCTGATTATAAGCGACCTGGCGGCCTGGCCCCTCCAGGGACCCAAACCTTCTTGAGTCCCAGTCAAGGGTCGGATTAGTTCTAAACTGTTCTTCGCAGAAAGCCTCGCAGCTCCCCACCCGGGGCCCCGACTTCTTCCCACTGAGATAGTGAACCTCCTTAAATGGAGGAACTGGCCCTGGGAGAAGAAACGCGACTGATGGGACCTCTCGTTCCTCTGGGAGAGGCTGCCTTGAGGAGATTTAAAAAAAAAAAAAGTGCTTGTTCATCTTCAGCCGCAGCTCATCAGGCATTACTGACCTCAATTTCTTTTCTGGAGTTAGCACCGGGGGTGGGGCTTAGAGGGAAGTCAAAGGGGCTAAATTTGGCTCTGACCCTGGCCGAGCGAGCTCGTTCACTACCCGCCTGGTGATGTGAACCTCGGGGCTAGGAAGGGCTTTGAGGGTTGGGGGGGGTTGGGAGGTTGCGTGTTGGGGAAGAAGCTGGGTGCCCTTTTGCAGACATCAGCCCTCCTGGCTTTCTGTAACGCTCACCTTTAATTCAGCATCTTTCAGACCAGAACAGCCTTGAGAGGGGCAGGTGGATGGAAGGGCATTGCTTTTGAGCCCTCTGCCTGCATAATTACACAGCTATTGGACTGGGGGCAGCTTCTGGACTCCCATTTATGGGGAAGGATTTTCTTCCTGTTTCATTTGGGGCCAGGAGAGACACTTACCTTTTCTCCCTAATTTTCAACTTCGAAAACCATATTCTATCAGCTGTCAGTGTTCCCAGTCCTCGGCTCTTCACTTTCTCACCTCCTCTCTTCTCGTGCCACCTGAAGTCTAGAGAGAGATAAAGGAAGGGCCTCTGCACTTCCCCTTCTCACATTCTGATTCAAACACCAGGAAAGAAGCCTGTTTAAGCAAAAACCCTTCCCATGTACAACCAAGTGAAGGTGGGAGTTAGACACACAGCAGGCTTAGTTAGAACCAGAGTTCCACTCGGGGCAGTTCTCAACTCGAGAGCCAGCCCTGGTATCCTTCAACATGGAGCAGAGAGGGGGGAGTCAAAGGAAAAGGAAAGGATGGGAGATGAGAAGCAGAGCCCTGCAGGGGACAAGGAATTGGGGCATTTTCCCTGGGTCCTGGTGCTTTGGATTGGCAGCTCAGCAGTGACAGGTGATGGGAGAAAAGGGGATATAGGAGGTAAAGAAGTGGCTACCGGTTTATTTTATCACTCCGTTAACTCTAGACACAGGCATGCACATTATATCCAGCACAAAAGCTGATCCTTCCTACCCCTCTCTACACAGACCATTTAGTCTACCCTTTGGCACTCTGCTCCTTCAAGGCATCCCTTGATCCTCAATTTAACTTTATTTCAGCAGTGTGTAAGTGGACACAACTGGGGGTGAGGGTGGGGAGGGTGGTACATGCTTTAATTTGCCTAAGGCCCTGCACCCCTAGGGGTGACCCCACTGAAAAGCTCTTAATGTGTCTTCATTATTTTGTTTGAAGTAATAATTCCCAAAACATGAGATACATCTATGGGAAATACGAGTACACACATACCTACACACACACACACACACACACACACACACACATCTACACACACACACTCTATATTTGATAGCAGAATTAGGCAAATTCAGGAAGTGGTTGAATGACTGGACCCAGAGAATCGTCATTAATAAGTTGGTGTCAATTTGAAGTGAGGTGTTAGGAGACAGTTGCTCAACTCCCTTTGCCTAAATCTTAACAACCAACACTTTCTTGCCTTCTAGCTATTTAAAATCACAGAAGGAGGCAGGGCATAATGACTTGCTCCTCCCTCACTTGAATTCAGTCAAGAAAAGGGCCCCAAGGAATCACATAGACTGGACTGAAGAGACGGTGTTATATTATGAATAAGGCAGAAAGCTCTTGAATCAAAGCTTACTCGTTTCTAGGAAAAAGAGAGGATTATATCCATCAACTGACTTTTTTATGGGGAAGAGCTTATAATGTAGAAGATGGGATGTTAGAGCTGAGTTGGCCTGGCTAGGAGCATGGGACTTGATCAGAAATCATAGGACAGATGTGAAAGAAGTGTTTTGAAATCACCTGCACTCGGTTGCTTCCCTTTCAGTGGTCGAGAGTGCATCTCTGTGTCTCTCTCTCCCCCTATCTCCCTCCCTCCCTCCCTCCCTCCTTCCTCCTCCTCACCTTTCCTCCTCCCTTTCTCATTCCCTCCCTTCCTCCCCTCCCCCCTTCTCTTTGTCTTCCCCAAAAGTTCTCCTTAGTTCTTCCCTTTTTAGGTGACCTGAGAAGCCCAGGACAGGAATCAGTAGTTAATGTCTCACTAATCTCCTTTTTTTCCAAAGTAATGTTTATATCTTTTGTTTTTATATCACCTACATTTCCCACTCTATCCTTCTCCCTGCCTTTCCCAAAGAGCCATTCCTTAAAACAAAGCATAAAATACAGCCGTGGTGGTGCAAACTTGTAATCTTTCCTACTGGGGAGGCTGAGGTGTGTGGATTGTTTGAGCTTGGGAGTTCCAAGATACAGTAGGGCTACAGCTGATTGGGTGCCCATACAAAGTCTGGCACCAATATGGTGAAACACCCCCCCCTCCAGGAGTGGGGCAAAACTACCATGCTGATCAGCATCAGGCCCCTGAGTGACCACTGTATTTCTGGCCTGTGGAAGATGGGGAGACCCAGTCTCAAAAAGAAGGGGGCGGGCAAAAAGAGGAAGAAACTCCCACAAAACTAAACAACACATCCCGAAACTCTGACTTTGTATGCATCGCTCCATACTTATGAGTCTCCACCTCTTCAAAGAAGCAAGGGAAGGTGTTTTCTCATTTTTCTTTTTTGAGGCATTATCTTCATTTCAAAAGCAATTGTGTGCTATATTTTCAAGATTATTGTTAAGGATTCATCATGGACAAGTCATTTCTTGATGTAGTTGTATGTTTATGAGTAGCTAGGATTTCCCCCCTGGTACCCCAAGTGCTGGATAGCTCTCTCCACATGGAGTGGGTTTGTATGTCCATTAGTGAGGTAAGCACTTTCTGGTCCAAGTGCCCGATGGTTATCATTGCCTGAGTGATCTCCAGGTGTTTAGCCTGGAGAAGAGACAATTCTATGGGGACATGGCAGCTGTCTTCAAGTATTTGAAGGGCTGTCATATGAAAGAGGGAATAGCCTTTTCCTGCTTAGCCCCAGAGGGCAGAAGTAGGATCAATGAGTGGAAATTGCAGGGAGGCAGGTTTGGGCTCCATATTAGGAGAAGCTTCCTAAAAATTAGAACTCTGTAAGTGGGATGGGCAGCCCCAGGAAGTAGTGAGTTCCTCCTCCCTATAGGTCTTTGAAGGAGGGCTTGTTGGTAATACTATGGGGGGGCATGGCATATTTTTTGGGTACAGTTGCACTGATGAGCTCTGGGGGTCCCATCCAGCTTAGAGGTTCTATCATTCTGGATGTCAGTCCATCTCCTCTCCTCTGAGATACAACTGGAACCCTGTACCAAGCCTGGAAACATTGAATGACTCTATGGGGTTTCCCCACTGCTTCCCTCCATGAGCCCCAATGATCATGAGTTGACTGAGGCATTAAAGATTCTGTGGGTTAATATGCAGAAATCCTCTTTAAATCCAAGCCTGTTAGTTAAAGCCTATAATGTAAATGACATGTTCTTTGGAGATGTGTTTTTATACTCTAGACTTAAAGTGTCCACATAAGGTACCAATGGCTGCTCATATACACAAAGGTTATTGCATTTGACCTGAGCACACTTCTTAAGGAGCAAGTCACTTAACCTTATTTGCCTCAGTTTCCTCGTTTGTGTGAGCCGGAGAAGGAAATGACAAGCCATTCCAGCATCTTTGCCAAGAAAACCCCCAGTGGGATCAGGAAGAGTCACAACTGAGCAACACAAATTTCCAGGGTTGTTGTGAGGATTAAATGAGATAATATTTGTAAAGTGCTTTGCAAACTTTGAAGTGATATAGAAACACTGGCTATTATTACTTCGGGGCTTTCCTAATAGCCTCAGTTATCAATACTCTCTACTTCTTGAAATTACTTTGTATATGCTCTGTAGTTTCACACTCTTGTAAATAAACACAAATTCCCTTCCCCACCACCACCACCAATAAGAATGTAATCACCATGAGGGCAGGGACTTTTTTTCTCTTTGTATCCTTAATGCCTAACACAATACCTGGCACATAGTAGGTACTTAGTAATCACCTCTCCTTTGAACTATTGCAATAGTCTTCCTGTTTCCATTCTCTCTTCTCCTCTATCCCAATCTTCATACAGCCACTGAAATTATCTTCCTAATGCCCATGTCCAACCACCTTACTCCCCTGCTCAGGAATCTTTGATGGCTCCCTCTAGGGAGATTCTAGGGTAAAATATTAACTCCTCATCCCAGTATTTAAAGTCCTTCACAATCT